TGCCCTGTTCAGACGTCCCTGTAATAGAGACCCTGTGTATCAGTGTCCTGTTCAGACGTCCCTGTTATAGAGATCCTGTATATCAGTGCCCTGTTCAGACGTCCCTGTTATAGAGACCCTGTGTATCAGTGCCCTGTTCAAAGGTCCCTGTTAAAAAGACCCTGTGTATCAGTACCCTGTTCAGACGTCGCTGTAAAAGAGAGCCTGTACATCAGTGCCGTGTTAGACGTCCCTGTAAAAGAGACCCTGTGTATCAGTACCTTGTTCAGACGTCGCTGTAAAAGAGAGCCTGTACATCAGTGCCGTGTTCAGACGTCCCTGTAAAAGAGACCCTGTGTATCAGTACCTTGTTCAGACGTCGCTGTAAAAGAGAGCCTGTACATCAGTGCCGTGTTCAGACGTCCCTGTAAAAGAGACTCTGTGTATCAGTACTCTGTTCAGACGTCGCTGTAAAAGAGACCCTGTGTATCAGTGTCCTGTTAAGACGTCCCTGTTAAAGAGACCCTGTATATCAGTGCCCTATTAAGACGTCCCTGTTAAAGAGACCCTGTGTATCAGTGCCCTGTTAAGACGTCCCTGTTAAAGAGACCCTGTATATCAGTGCCGTGTTCAGACGTCCCTGTTAAAGAGACCCTCTTTTGAGCCTTCTCTAATAAAGGTCTATAGATACCCCATTTTCATAGTTCTGTGGACGTCAACTATTTTTATCTAATTCGAGAAACATGGTATGTTTGCTGTGTTTCCTCTCCCTCATCTCAATCTCCTGTCACCTACTGATTCGCTGGTATTAAGACCGATATCCTTGTGGCATCAATAAAGCATGTAGTGTGGTATGTGGCCTGCATCTCTTCTCCGCCTCCGTGTCAACAAACTGTCGGCCATTATCGATCATCATTCACCAGTTATTATGACAAAATGAACACACTTGGACAGGAAGCTGTTTAGACACACAGGCAGACAGGAAGTGGGACACGGTTAACTTGAAATTGGTCCCTGACCACCTCATTTCAACGCCTAATATTTTTATAGATCGAATGGATCAGTACTTTGACATTTTGAAACGGTTGGAATTGTTTTTCGCCGTGTTTATTTTTTTTCAATTTGTAACAATAATTATTAACGACCACTCAAGAATGATCTACTTTCGCTTTTATATCGTCTCAATAATTGATTTTCCGCTGCCTAGAACGCATTGGATCTTTATAGTGCGTGTACGTCGATCTACAAATTCTTCATAAGACATGTTTGACAAGCACGATCGACAACCAGAGCTGGACATTAAAGCCGTTTCTGGAGCAGGGAAACCTTTACGAGATACCTATGAATCGAGTCTGATAGAAAATACACTATCTTCTTTAAAATGTTCACGACGGCAGTGATATCATTAAGGGGTTATGGTACATTTTTTTCGTTTGTTTTTTCTGACTGACTTTGCAGCCTCGCCGGTATTAAAATGAAATGAATGAGTTTTTCTAGAAGATCAGTAATACTTATGTTTATTATCAAGGTAGCATTATCATAATAGATACGATAAAAAGTCCCCAAACATGCGAATCGATGGGCTTTCCTGTAGTTGAGCATGGTTATACGGTTATTAAACATACATAGTCTTTATAGAGGAAACCGTAACAAAACAAGGAATATATTATCGTGATAAAGGCGACATTATCCTGTAGACATACTTCCGGTTGACGTCTTGTTTAAGCAAGCTTACATATAAGGATTCCATCTATGTATGTACCGGACACGTCACGCCTCTCTTATCTGTGGTCATTCTGTCACCAGACTCAAGTTGGCATTCTGATTTTAGTGTCTTGTAACATCAGGGTAAGCGGTGAAATGTGGGTTCCGAGACGCTTGCATCTGTTTAAGTAAATCCGTAAGATATCGATAAGAATGGCTTGCTGATTATGAGGTGTACATCTAGAAAGATAAAACTCGGACATGGTTCCTATATTATTTCTGATTGTAACAACAAACTGCGACCGAGCTATTCCTACGTCCTTTAATCTTCCCTGAGACTACATTTACCAATGCAATTTATTCTAAGTGGTTGGTCTGCTACAAACACCACCATGAATATGTCTGCCGTAAAGTGTGATTCAATTCATCAGAATAACTCCCGCTGTAAGAGCATAAGAGAAATTGGTAGGTTTGGATATCTAAAAATTGTGTGTATATATAACCAACGAAGAAAATACCCGTCAACAGAATCATATTCCTAATTCAAGGTAATAAAACTAGGACATAATATGAGACGAGGTGTTCCGAAAGACTAAACGTCTTCTGCTTCATCGATCTTGATCAATCCAATTATTTAATATCACGTTCCCAAATGAGAACAAGGTTAACAACCAAGGACACCAACAGGTTAGGTGTTAGGAGCATCAAATAACTCCACTTAATAAAAGGGTGAACGATTGAATTTCTCACTTTGGATTTCCCTAGTCGCTTCCTAGGTTTCAAAAATTAGGCCCATTACTTACGAGTTCCAGCAGGACGAAACAGCTATATGATGCATTTTGATTCATTTTTGGCTCTACTTTGTCTATTCACTTGTGTGTCTTTAGCACAATTTTATAAAGTATGAAATATGAGCGCCAAGAAAATTTATTTTTGAAGCGAACAAACTAGGACCCTTTAATGCGATACTACATATGTATATTATTTCTGTTCTGTTGCACTATATGGTTAAATGTAATGTACTGATGTTCATATGGCGTTGAGTTTTGCATCTAGACTTGTGACGTTTTAGACAGTATCAGCCATGGATGACCAAGTCTGACGTCTAAAATTAATTAATAATGGCTGGCAATAAGCTTAAAGGGGAGTGTCCTGAAATTTACTGAGCCCAAGGGCTACAACTCTTGGAAAAATAGTCAACTTACATAATATTGCTGCTAGATGACGTAATTACTTCTAATATTATATAAAAGTGCAGACATTTACTAAGAATCTGCGATAACGCTGAAAGATGTGTCTGAAGAATATTTGACAAAGAATCTGTAATAACTGCAGTGTCAATGGCAAAGTTTGATGTATTGGAATTAAATCAATGGTCAATCATCATCGTCGTCGTCCCTATCACCTTCTTGTTCTAATTCTTGGGGATGATATAGTAGTGTTTGTATGCTTTTCAAATATTCGTTGATGATTTTGAGACAAAATCGAGATTGTGAAGGGATGCACGACTGACGACGCCGAGCACAAGCGATCGCTAGATCACTTGCATAGTAAAATGACAAAAGAAGACATTAGCTCTTGATTGTATATATATGATATATATCAACAGGATTAAGCCAACAAGCATTAATGATGGGCACTTCATGACATAGATAGCCGAGGTACATTGCTTCTACGTTACTAGGTAGTATTGTAGCATTGTAATGCACTTTTAACCACTAACACGATTGGACCGCGCAATATCATCTTCAATACAAATATATTGCAATAAAATAAATGTGCATTCCAACTGCATTCAACACATGCTGTACCATACTACCTATGCTTCGGTCTTATAACCCAGAAACGGTCGTGTAGGTTATGTACATCAATGTCAATTATCTGGAAAAGGAGTGTATGCAGTATACTTGTTGTTGTTTGCCAATATAACATACTGCAAATTGAATTATTCTATTGTAGAAAAGATAAAAACAAGAGTTGAAGAAGACAAGGACTATGTCATGGTACGGGTTTGTCTTATGTACCAATTTCAACATCTCGACCACAAACTAAGAAACTAAAGTTATAGTGTTGCTATGGTAACCAAAACATCTTAAGACCTACATGTATATAAATATACACCAGGTCCATAGCATCTAATAGGGCTGACCCGGTGGGTTGTAACGAATGGTACGGAACTGATTGAATTTGTAATTCTGGTAGATCTATTTGAGCTATTATGCAATGGTCCGCTTCGATCGTCATAACATGATAAAAGAAAGCATACAACATGATAACGGATGCCCATTTCGTGGCATTTCGCCTTTTGTATAAACATGTATCTGTACATTTGACATGTAGTTGATGCAGCTTTCTGTTAATTATGTATAATAAATGCGAAACGGCCACTTTGATTACCATATCTACTGTCTGTGATGTAAAAATCTGGGCAGCAATGATAGCATCGTATTGGTAAATGATCGTACTTAAAAAGATACATGATGTTAACAGACCGATGGACTGCCATTAACATGTATACCATCACACTGCCAATAAACATTATACTGATGCTTCAGATACAGTAATGTTAGCACGACAAGGAACGCGTGCTCGTTAGACAAATTAAACAGACCAGTGTAATTTAGTTCAGTATGACAAAAAATCCTAGTGCCGGCGTATGATTGATTTGTTCATATTTGTTTTCGGGAAGATAAGAGCGATGTTTGACTTCTATAAAAATAGAAATTGTGACAAGAAGACTTAACGAAATGTAATGATGACTGATTGGGTTTATCCTTCTCGAGGTTTCGAATTTTAGTAAACTATATCATTTCATTAGTCATTTGTCAAACTGGAATAGGTACTTCTGAATGTTACACGTTTATTTTGACTCATATCTGTTTTTATGTTTCAGGCATTCTATCAAAGGATCTGACACGAATCGTGGGTACAAGATGGATTTCTAATAAAGGGAATCGGAATCGGTCTCACATTTCCTACAGATGGGCGAGGGAGTGTTCGTTGTTGATGAATTACCTATAAGGAATCGCATGTCATCCAAACCACGAGCGCCAGGTCATGTATCTGGTATTGACTGCCAGCGTGCATGTGGCATACCGTTTTATAAATGAAAAACATGAAAATTCTGTCGTTCAAGGATAACATAAACGTACACACTTCCAGAGATACGTTATTGTGGAGAAGTGTTAGTCGTCGTACACACAAGTACAAAGTTTAAAAAAGGTCCCGAATGTAGCAGGTAGGAGTAGTGTATAGCATGTGTTTGTACGTTACATTTTATGTGGAGCCCAGTTTTATCCAGAATCGGTGTGCTTGATATGATTCATCAGGAGACTCTGGTTTTCAAATGTGACTCGTATCAATTCGTTCCCTGCGATTATACCTGTAACCATGAACATCACTCGAAATTTCATCCTTCCCACGAGACTGGGCAGTGCGGATTTGTCGTCAGAGTTTTAACACCCCGGTGTCTTTACCGTCTCTACAACACTTGTGTCATCACCGTGGCCATTTTAACAATATTACCCAAGAGAACATCATTCATGTCGACTGCAGTACCCAATCAAATTGCATCTTACAACGCGATATCAAACTTCACCAATCACACGATTGTATACAATGAACTGTCGGCCATCAATGAAACTTACAATGGAAGTGATTGGACAAATTTTACAAATTCGACAATTCTCGATTACGAAGTAAAACGGCCAATCATCGGAATAGTTTTGTCTCTGTTTTCAGTGGTGACCATGGTAGGAAATGTGCTGGTGATAATCGCCGTTTTTAAGGAAATGTATCTGAGAACTGTCACCAATTATTTCATTGTTTCCCTCGCTCTCGCCGACCTAATGGTAGGCGGGATCGTGATGCCTTTCAGTATAAGTCTGGAAGTTACCAATGGGGTATGGCTTTATGGCGAGGAATGGTGCGATCTATGGCATTCATTTGACGTCCTGGCGAGTACAGCATCCATCTTGAATCTGTGTGTGATTTCGCTCGATCGGTATTGGGCAATTACAGACCCTATTGCATACACCGCTAAGATGTCCCAATGTAAGGTGGGCCTACTAATAGCTTTCGTGTGGCTCTGTTCCGCTGGTATATCTTTCCCAGCTATTGCCTGGTGGAAAGCGGTTACCCCGAGTAATCTCCCTTCGCACGTTTGTATGTTTACAGAAGACAGTGCCTACTTGATATTTTCCTCCATAGTGTCTTTCTATTGCCCGACTTTCATCATGATGTTCGTCTATTTACGGATATATTTAGCCGCAGCAGCACAAATTAGGAGTTTAAAAGTTGGCAGTAAAGTATTGACGTCGAACGGCAGTCATGGAAATAGAGAAATAATGACCTTGAGAATGCATCGCGGTGGGATGAACTCGCCTCGGAATGGACATGATGAGCATTACAGACGCGCCACGCACGAAGATTACTCTCAGTCATGTGACAGATGTATGGACAGTGACAGTACTGCTTTGACGACACAGGAAAGTAAATTAAATTTACCCCACGCGCATGCGTCTAATGGTGCACACCATCATAGACCAGCAAAATTTATAACAAAGAGGCTCCGACAGTTCGCGCTAAGTAAAAAATTGACTAAACTGGCACGCGAACAAAAGGCAGCCAAAACGTTAGGTATAGTTGTGGGTGTTTTCATAATATGTTGGCTTCCATTCTTTGTTTTTAACGTCTTACAAGGGATATGTGGTGTAAGTTGTCTAGTGTATCCGGAGTTGCTCTTCCCAATATTTACTTGGCTTGGTTATATAAATTCCGGTATGAACCCTGTGATATATGCTCTCTCTATGAGAGATTTCAGACGAGCGTTTGGAAAGGTCCTTTTCTGCTGTTGTCCAAAACAAAGATTTTCTTATCAGCGAGCTCATCAAAAATATACAACATCCTCATCTAGCTTCACAGTGTCATGTGCAGACAGAGTGTAGCAAGCATATCCTGAAAACATACAAAATTGACAGTTTAAGTCATAAGATACTGTACTGTATTTATTTATCACATGCTTCAGGAACTGATGACGTCATATGTCGTATAGGTCACGTGTCCCACTGCTGGTCGGCGGACATTGCCCTGCTCATGCGCTAATTTGGCGATAACTAGCTTGGATATGACGAACGAACCAGAATATAAGAAACAATGTTTTCTCGATATGTCCCATCATTTTGGTTCCTCACTTTAAAAAAATCATGGTTTTGTTTTGTTTAATACTCAGTGTGCGTTTCAATACTGTTCATTTGAAGAATAATATATCAGAATTGAAATAAAATGCGACGATACCAAATAATACATTTGTTGAATTTTAATTATAGTTCCAGACTTCTACCAGACATTTTCTCTTGTTTTGCTCGGGGTGATAGTTGGGACCAAGTTTATACTGTTGGTCTCCTTAGGAACATTGGTAGAATTCCCTAAATTAGTTAACACCTAATTGGCATGAAATGATATCCAATGTGAAATTCCAGCTTCGCCAAGTCAACTGTTCAGGCAACAGAACCTACCTACCACATCTCAACATTTTTCTTCGAAATCTTCTCCAATTAAACCAGACAGCAATTTATCAATTTCACTCCCAAAATATCGTGATTATAATCAATGTTACTTAAGCAGGCGACATCACATACGATTAATAGATTGCACTAACACACGCCGATCTGATTTGTCATATTGTGATCCATCAACTCTCCAGTGTGGCTGAACGAGAATCAAGTGAAACTGGTACGGAAAACAGCCTATGTCACGTTCATTGGAAGTAGCGTGTAAACAAAGAAAATAAACTCTCTTATAAGAAAGATCGCTATGTTTATTAAACGGTTAAAGATAATTCAAACGCCTTTCTACTGAAGACAAGTTTTATGATATTATAGAGAGATGCTTATGCGAATTGCAGAAAAGGCATATTGTTATGGTTTGATTTTTACCTTTTGCAATATTCGTTCATGTTTGTACCATCAAGTTCTGTCTGTAGTGTATTCTATGGGTTATACAGGAGCTGAGGTAATGTTTTATCGTGCCAACACTTAGAACTGAAGCTCCAAACACTTAATACCGAAGAAGAAAAAAATGTCATATTAGGGTACTTGGCCATGAGTTATTCCCCGGCCTACACCAACGTAATACTTGATTACATCACGTCATGAATGATGGGGATCGTGGCCTCGGGGCGACTGCAGCCAATAACTGACGACTGCCATCATATACAAATCAATCACTTTATACACAATCTGGCTTCCAGTAGGTTCACAATAGAGATCGATGGTTTCACACAAATATATAATTGTCAGTTGTGACATCAATATGAACGCCTTTCCGTTGGGTGTTATATCTAAGATTACAAAATTTATATCTGATATTGGTACAGTATTCCTATGAAACAGTAATAAAACACTAAGACGTAATATACTTCGATAAAATTCTATTCTAAATAATCAACTTTCACAAAGGTATTACGTGGAGACTCATAAAGTCAAATGTCAGATAATCAAGGGAGGCAACTCTATTGTAAACCCTAATTGAGACCATCCAGTTCTGTCTGTACACAACCTATAAACACAATGACAGGGACTTTTTGCATGGAGACGAAGGGAACTTAACAATATCATCTTAATATATATCAGGCAGTTATAACCTAAAGACTTTTGTATTTTGTCTTTGGAATGTTAAATATTTTGAACATCATTTTCATTCAGATCGACGTGTTGACCATCATTTTTAGATTATAAAGCTTCTCAACTTAGGAAAAATATTTCTTTACTTTCTAATGAAGATAAAGAAGAAAATACGTATTTTACAAACATAAAGTTTGTTTTTGATCTACAAACTTTGCAATTCATTTTCTTTAACGGTTAAAGATATGGGTTAAAATTTAATGAAATGCATGTGGTTGAAGGTACATAAGATGTTGACATTGGAAGGCCTGTTCGGCTAAAGAGCTGTCTCAGTTTACCGTATATATGGTACACTGTGCAGAAACACGGAACTGAAACGTATGTAATTACCCATAGCCAACATGGCAGATGCCGATCCAGGTACGTAAGTATGAAAAACATGTCTCTGTTTTCATATTTGTAGGGTCATACTGACAGTGCTGTGGGGCTAACGTGTTCATCAAATATCATAAGACATGTTTACAATGAGGCGTTTAACTTTAAGTGTCTATTGGAGAAGAAATGACATGACTGAAAACACATTTCGAAAGCGAAAGTAGTTATGTATAGTCCAAGTTACCTACAACATCGTCGTATTTATGGTAGCTCGCTGCGCTTATCCACTGTAGCTATTTGCACACTTCAAAATATAAGAATAAAGAAAACAGAGACATGTTTTTCTTACTTGTTTCAGTACCGGAATTACTATAAGGACGCCAATTACAGCACAACATCCGGGCTTTCTAGTTGAGGACACCCATCTGTAGACGAGGTATGATGACAAAGCGAGTTGCATTTCAATCATTAATACTTAAATACATATATTGTATTTACACCGAATATTTTTGTACTTTTGCGAGTGTTATGTACTTGTTTTAATGACAATGTCAATGCAGCATGGTATCTGGTGTTAAGACCCTAGTGCTCAATGAATAATATATTTTTTGAATAATGTAATCTTTGTATCCGTTGTCCTATTGATTCTATTTCTTTCATACATATAAATGAACACATGGTCAATTAACTGTCATTTTACATAGTTGTAAGGAAATGCCGTCATTTCGGCCCAGACAGGTTGGGATCATGTCCAGAGATTGAAGTCCGTTGGGGGACGCTTTTCGTGACCTTTGGAACATCAACCATTCCTCACGTCCAAGCCAAACGCATTGGTGACCCAACGTCTGCGCTTGCATGTTAAATGTCTGTGTATCTTATTGTCTGGGGAAGCGAACCGAATTTAAGTAAATTATATCTTACCAAATATACCGATAGAGCCTTGAAGAATCGATCCGGTTTGACGAGATCTTCCTCTAAATTTCAATAAAAAAATAAACGCCACCTCTTCGCACATCGCAGTTTACAATACGCTTGGCAATATCTATTTATAGTGGAATGAATGTATGCGTTGTGTGTCCAGAAAATAGGATACATATTTAATGTTAAATAGAATAATATATCACCTAAAATGAAGAACACAACCTCATTATATATTTGAATATTTCTCGTATTCAGTTAATGATTTACATTAACTCTCAGAGAGTCAAGCAGAAACGGACTTCGATAAAGGAGGTTATCTTTCCGATTATTCCACAGTTCATATTGTCTTCACTGTCGTTAAAACTTGCCATATAGTTTTAAATTGTTCCCACACAACAAAAAGATTTAGTGACCGGGGTTTCAAAAAATCGTCTTAAAGATGTCTGTACGAAAGATGAATGAATTGATTTTAATCCAAAACACTACACATACAGTTAGTATTTCACCATTCACTTGCAATGATATAATGTGTATCTGTTTAAAAGAACCAAAATCTTTACTTTTAATTTTAGCGATTTTCAAGAACTTACATTTTAAATGTGTGGTTGTTAATTCAGTTTCAACGAACACGTCAAATGACAGGCTATGATGAAGATGGCGTTGTGAGAATTATCAAATTACCAATTGAATATATATTATATCTATATTTATGAATCTGTAAAATTCTTCCCAGCAGAGCAAGCGGCTATTAATTCCTTAGAATCGCATCTGTTCCGACTGAGTCTTACTTCCTCTCCCTCGGTCACAGGTGTGTTTTATTCAGACAGGTTACAACTCTCTTAAGTCAATAAATCAACAAGTGTAACACCATCAAATTACAAATTACATTTTCATCTTAAGGTAAATTGAACTAATTTATCTCAAAGGTTTATCTGTACTTTTAAGTTTTAACCTAATTTTGTAGATGGAAACGTGTCTTCTGTTTTATTTGAATTTTATATATTGCAGCAGTTTATCATCCAAACGCTGGTGAAAGTAACTTTGTCGTTTATTACCGAACCAAATTAACAAATTGGAAGACAGGCTAAGATATTACATTGTGTTAGTGTTAATTTATACCCTCACACCAAGTACTACATTACTGAAGGTAGTGGGAGGAGTTCATATTATATTGACAGGAAACATGTTTCACGAAAAATCTCTTAAACATAGCTGACAACAAATACGATCTCAAAGTCATAATTCTTTAAACCGGAAACCCTATATCATTTTATATATATAATAGCACTATTAAGGGTGATTGCATTAAATATGGTTACCAGGGATACACAAAATTGATTATGTAATCTAATTAACTTTAACTTTGAATTAATTTTAGAGACGATTATATAAATGATAACTATGTAGAACATTGTAGCCATTCAATAGGGATATTAAACTGTTATGCACTCTTTATTAGCATGTTATGTTTGTGTTCCAGCGATACAAGCTGGGTGGAATGTTGACGAGTCCATTACACCGTCAGCAGGGGTATGTGAAGACATTACATTGATCTTACTTCCGGTTCCTGTCTCGTAACTCTTTTGTAAGGTATGTTAATTATGTACAGGTGTCACGTGTTTTGAACGAGGAAACTATTCTTTGTCACGTATCAAATAAATTGAAATAACTGATAATTTTACACCAGTGTTTAGAATGGATTGATTTTTTTCAACTTAATATTATAATTTGTATGTTTATACAGAGCGGATTCTGTTAAAAATCCTGATTAATGGAGTATATGTTATCTATCGGTATATTACAGGTGTCTGGCAAGACTATAAGGTACGTAAGAACGATAAGTCTTATCATTCAACACGTAAATAGACCAGATAGTTCAGGAGTGTCCAAAATAATAATAATAATAATATCTACTCTTTAAAACATATTAATACGTTCGTCTTACATATGTTCAAGAAAATGATATATAATATTTGTAAATAGAATTACAAAATACATATCACAGGTAAGTACAGCAACAGAGATCG